CACACACACACACACACACCCTCACACACACACACATGCACACTTCTCAGTAAAAACTTCAGACTGTAGGAGAAACTTAAGTCCTGGTGCCCTTTCAATATCCCTTTCTCAGTTGCCTTGAAGAATAAAAATAAAATGGTGTACTTAGAAATATCTGATCTCATTTTGGTGTGTTTCCTTCTGGCATTTTGTAATGCTCATCTATAATAATAAAAGCGTAATATGCTAATTAGACGATGTCCTTCTGGACGAAGCCAGGGCTGCGAGGGAAGCCCGGGTCCAGGTGCCTGCTGGTGGCTGGAAGGACTCCTGGGGCTCAAGTGCAGGAGGGAAGCCGGTGCCGGCAGCCGGAGGAAGGAAGGTCTACTCTTCCACAAATTTCTTGCATCAGGCCTCTAATATATACATAAAAATCCTAAAATAAATATATATTCTTTTCTTTTAAAAAATTAAACTGTATCATGTGCTACATACTGTCTTAAAATTTACCTGTTTTTTTTTTTACTCAGATCTTGGGAAATTGTTCCACCTCAGAACCCACAGAACTATCTCATTATTTCAGTTTAGGGCAGAAGATTTCATATGTTGACTGTGCCATGGTTCACTCAACCCTCTAGTAGTGCTAGACATGTAACACATTGTTTCCATTTTTTGCCTTTACAAATAGCTCTCAGTGCACCTCCTTGTCCCGGCACACATATGCCTCCTACCTGTATGGGAGTATTTCTCCAGGCTAATACCATGAATTAGAATTATCATTAGCTGAAAATTTTAATGGATGTGCCAAGTGGCCTGCCAAGTGATTATATTAGTTTAAACTCCTACCAGCAGTGTCATCTGCACACCATTGCCTGGCATTTTAACACTCAAATGAATGCTTTAAAGAAATTCTTATTCATGTATGTTTTTAAACTTTCAGGGCGCAGTGGCTTCCTATGGCCTGGTCTGAATGTCCCTCTTATGAGGGATGGAGCTGTGCAGACCATTGCCCAGAGAAGCAAGGAAGAGCAGGAGAAGGTGGAAGCTGACATGTTCCAGCAGAGAGAAGAATGGGAACGGAAGAGGAAGATGAAGGTTAAGCGGGAGCGAGGCTGGAGTGGAAACTCGTGGGGAGGTGTCAGTCTTGGCCCCCCCGACCCTGGTCCCAATGGAGGTAGCAGAGTCCTGATTTTGCTTACCTTTGTGGCAGAGAGATTGTAGTTCTGGAGTTCCTTAATATGAATTTATTTACTTACCTGTTTAGATTGCTTTTTTCCAAAAAAAAAAAAAAGGATTTGAACATCATTGAAATAACTACATTATTATCCAGCTGTATTTTATGGAACATTAGAGGCACATAACCAGAAGTATTCCACACACAGGATGCAGAGCACTGGGTTCTGACACTGCTATTGTGTGGCTTCTCAGAGCCTTCCATGTGGTGGTGTGCGTTGTGGATCTGCACAGCAGTTTCCCAACACAACTGGTCGGGTGCCTGTGGAGCAGCAGCATGGTGTGGGAGTTTCCATAACAGGATAAACCAGATCGTTGTCATTAAGCCTCATAAACAGAAAAATGAAAGAAAAATTCAAAATACTTATTAGGCCAAAGTAGAAACCAAAGTCCTCCGCACCCCCAACACCCATGTATGTAGAGAAAAATCTCGAAAATCCATTCTTGAGGAGGAGATGAATAGACAAGAGTGTGGCTGCTTTCTTAAGTTTGGCTTAAAGAGAAGAGCAGAGGCTGAGAGGGAGAGACTGGCAAGTGTGCTTAGAGCTGAACAGAAGGCTTCAGTTGGGAGGAGGAGAAAAAAGATCAAGTCCCTGATGGGGACCCAGATTCAGAGTAGAGATAAGTGCACTAACTTGTGACAGATTCAGGTGAAGCCTGTATTGTTAGTAGTGGGGCAGGGTGTGTGAGCGATGTCTGTCTGGTGGCTTCAGCTGGCCTGGGAGGAGGAGGGGGCCATCTGCTGAAGGGAGGATGGGGCAATGATGAGCATGGCTACCAGAATATTTTTTCTTTTTTTTTCAAACATATTTTATTGATTTTTCACAGAGAGGAAGGGAGTGGGACAGAGAGTTAGAAACATCAATGGGAGAAGCATCGATCAGCTGCCTCCTGCACACCCCCCACTGGGGATGTGCCTGCAACCAAGGTACATGCCCTTGACCGGAATCGAACCCGGGACCCTTCAGTCCCCAGCCCGACACTCTATCCAGTGAGCCAAACCGGCTAGAGCTTTCTTTTCTTTTTAAAAAAAATATATATTTTTATTGATTTCAGAGAGGAAGGGAGAGGGAGAGATAGAAACATCAATGATGAGAGAGAATCATTGACCGACTGCCTCCTGCACGGCCCCGGCTGGGGATCAAGCCCGCAATCCGGGCGTGTGCCCTTGACCGGAATTGAACCCGGGACCCTTCAATCCACAAGCCGACGCTCTATCCACTGAGCCAAACCGGCTAGGGCTGGCCACCAGAATATTTTGATGAAAACTAGGGTATCTGGGACTTTCTTTCAGATTATCCAGAGTGGGAATTGAACAGTGTAGAGAAAAGAGGACTGACCATGAGTTGATAATTGTTGAAGCTGGCTAATGAGTACATAAGCTGTCACTTGGCTATTCTGTTTTTGTATTTAATTGAAATTTTCTATAGTAAAAAGTTAAAGGAACATAAAATGTTTGAAGTGGCTATGAGGTGAGTGAAGAGGGGCCTAACTAAAAGGACATAAGAGGCTGACAGGTCGCAGGGAGCTCATGATTGAATTAGAGACCATGAATGTTTAGGGGTCCAAGTGTGTACTGTGCTTTGACTTCTGTGGCACCCAGCAGGCCAGGTGTGGCCAGACAGCTGCATTGATTCAGGCATAGACAATATGGAGGAGAGAAAAAGGCGAGGGAGTCGAGGATATCCACACGCTCTGGTGGAAATGATGGGCTGTGGTGTGTTGGCTGTGTGGGAGAGGCTGTGAAGACCAGAAGGGATAAGAGGGAAAGAAAACAGTGGTCAAGAGTCTGGAGGTGCTGGGGAGCGCCAAGAACCATCGCCTGGGGAGACATTGAGTGAGAGCTGGAGGGGTAGGAGGGTGTAGTCAGGGAGGTGGTGGCCGAGTGTATGAATTTAATGGTGGAGTGGTCTGGTGTTGGTGGAGGACCAGGGCATAGCCTGAGAAATGGCACCGAAAGATTCACTTTCTTTCTCACATAAATGTCGATAATCATGCCTGTATTGAAAATGCTTTTGTACACTAATTATGTTGACATGTATCTGTATGACTGTTTCTTTTCTTTCTACAGAAACATATGATGATTTTGATACCAGGATACTTGAGGTAGGCACGCTGAACCCAGTACCCAGTTAGGTCTTTGGAGAAGTTGGGAAAGTTTGGGCTGGTGGAGTAGGGATAGGGCACGAGGACTGTGAGGAAAAGCCTTGATGGGTGATGTTTTCTAAGACACAGAGCTGATTTGGGTAAGAAAATAATGAAACTTGAGTTTCAATCTTTTGATACAGGTTCTCCTGACTGTTGCCCTTTGCGGGGCACTGTCAATTGAGGTCTCATGACAAGGCAGCTTTGGTGGTGTTGATAACAGAATTTGGGGATTACGTTGAGATTTCCTCCTTCCTAAAGCTAAGGTAGCATTAGTGACCTGTCCTCGAATTATGAACCAGCTGAATCTGGCTTCAGTTCAGGGAGCAGGGACTGCAGGAGCCATGGGGCAGGGCTGGGAAGCGTGGGGGTGCTGTGATGTCCAGCTCTTGATGGGCAATCACCCTGCAGGCCTTCAAAACAAGCCTGTTTGAGGTGAAGCTCAGTCACTTCCCAGGGCAGTCCCTCAGGTCGTCATCTGCCCTTCGAGCTGGTGCTGCAGCCTTGTTAGTGTTACCTGCATGTAGAATGATCATTTATTGAGTTTGTGACTGAATCTTTTCTATTATTTCTTCAATACCAGTTGTCTATAGAACTTAAAGTATGTTTACAAGTATTTTATGTCTTTGGGTCCCAATATATACTTATTGGAAGTTAATTCCTTTGAAGAATACTTGTACATGGGTGTTTTCCTGTAAGGTGATCCACAGCAGTGGACTCAGCTCCCTTTTCCTTTAACCTCATTTTATGGGAAAGCGGCTGCTATTTAAGCTGTTGAGTTAACAGTTTCATGGTTCCTGGACTTTTATATACATCATACACACAAAAAATGCAAGTTTTCCTGTAGTTCATAATATGCAGGTATTTCCAAATTCTCTATTTTCAGGTGAGCCTAATCCTCAGCACAGAGATCTGATTGTATGCTATTTTTTTCTATATACTGCATTTTATTTCTAAATGCACATTCTTTCATATTTCAACATCTCTGGTATTGGGTGTCTTATAGCCACCAGTTATAAACCATGACAGAGTTTAATCAGCACCTTTTTTCCTTTGCATACGTTTGTTAAAATGGGGTGCATTGTGTTGTGTAGTTTCAAATCCCTTTAAGTTACCTCAGAACTGCTAACAAGCTCTAGCTGGTTTGGCTCAGTGGATAGAGCATTGGCCTGTGGACTGGAGGGTCCCGGGTTTGATTCTGGCCAAGGACACATGCCTGGGTTGTGGGCTTGATCCCCAGTAGGAGGTGCGCAGAAGGCAGTGATTCTCTCTCATCATTGATGTTTCTATCTCTCTCTCCCTTCCTCTCTGAAATCAATAAAAATATATTAAAAAGAACTGCTAACAGCCCTGAGAAATAGGAGGAGAGATTCTTATTTCCACTTTATTCCTGAAGAAACAATCTAGGGAGAGGCTTCCTGTGAAGGAAGTTTGCTGCTTGTGCTCATGAACTTGAGGATGACATGTCTGTTCATGGGTGTGTGTGTGTGTGCTGCACATGTAAGGTGGCTGCTCCAGTTCCCACTTCAGAGTTTTCTTAAGGTAAAATGTTTATGAAACATTTTGTCTTTTAGGTAAGAAATGTTTTCAATATGACAGCAAAAGAGGGAAGAAAGAAATCGGTCCGTGTGCTGGTCGCCGTGGGGAATGGCAGAGGAGCCGCAGGTGAATGAGGTGCAGTGACGTTAGGGGTGCTGGTGGTGGCGGGGATAGGTGTGGCCTTTATTCAGCCTGAGTCCATGGGTTCATGCTGCTGACCAGACTTTTTCTACTGATGAATGAAATCTTTTGGGTTCACAAATCTTATGGTCACCCCATGAAATCCCTTAGAGGGAAAAGAAAGAATAGATCTTCCCATATCCGCCTTTTCCTGTGAGGACCACTGGGTATTTTTTTAAAATATGTTTTCATTGATTCAGATTTTTAGAGAGAGAGGAAGGGGTAGGGGAAGAGAGAGAGAGTTTGAGAGAGAAAGAGACAGATTAGTTGCCTCCTGTATGCCTCCTTTGGGGGATTGAGCCCACAACCCAGGCATGTGCCCTGACCAGGAATCAAACCAGTGACCTTTGGTGCATGGGATGATGCTCAACCAACTGAGCCACATGAGCCAGGGCACCAATGGGTATTTTAGAAACACTATTGTGTTATGTATAATAGTGAAAAATGAGGGGAAAAAACCATTACATTACATGCTCAATAGTAGGGACATAGTGACAAAAAGAATACAGCCATATATTGTAATATTCTTAGGTCACTAAGGAATTATGGAAACTTATAAAAATAATGCAAAGTAAAAAAAGCACAACTTCATATAAGACCAAATATAATTTCAACTTCTGTGGGGTTTTAAGTATCATAGGAATGTACACTTGAAACCTATATGATCCTATTAACCAATGTCACCCAATAAATTTTTTATTTAAATTTTTTATAAAGTACTAGAAGCCCAGTGCACGAAAATTCGTGTACTTGGGTCGGGGCAGTGGTCCCTCAGCCTGGCCTGTACCCTCTCGCAGTCTGGGACACCTTGGGGGATGTCCAACTGATGGCAGTCAGACATCCCTCTGGTAGCATGGGAGCCCTTGGGGGATGTCCAACTAATGACTTAGGCCTGCTCCCAGGGAACGGGCCTAAGCCATTAGTCGGACATCCTTAGTGCTGCCGCAGAGGCGGGTGAGGCTCCCGCCA